TCGATGGCACCTCTGCCACATAGAGTCTCATCTTTTCTCGGCGTACGCCCGAAACTGCGTAAAAAGAGTCTGAGCGCCTGCTGAAAGTTTGGCCAGCGCTCGCTGAAAGAGATCGTTTGACGAGCGCTTGCAGAAAATTTTGTATTGATGCCCGCTTGCAGAAAACGCAAATACCGCCCGCTGAAGATTTGGCCACGCCCCGAAATCCTGCTGACCGCCTGCAGAAAAGCTCGAGTTTGCGGACCGCCTGCCCCCGGCGATTATCTGAGCAGATGTTCTTAGTGTCCATCTGTCGTCTGTTCTTCTCATTATGTGAGCGGCCCATCGGTGTTTGGCTTTCGCAACGTATTCCGCTGGGTCACGAAGACGGGACATTCTTCTCGTATCCGTACTGCGAAGTCCGACTAGATGTTGCTTGCGTCGGGTCATCTTCAGAAGACTGCGCTCGAGCGCTCTGTGGGTGGTCCGTAAAGCTTTCGACGTGGCTACAGTGTCGGCCCAAGTCTCAGCTGCGTAACAGAGCGCCGGGAGAACGGTTGAGTCGAACAGGTTGGCACGAAGGTCCGGGTCCGTCAGTTGGTCGGTGGCTTCCTTCAAAGGCCCGAAGGCGGCCCAGGCTGCTCTTCTTCTCCTGTTGAGTTCTTCCCTCAAGTCGTTCTCATGTTCATCGAACGTCCGAGATACACGTAAGAAGACGTCTCCGTGATAGGGTTGCCTTCCAATTCCATTTCTGCATCTTCGCAAAGGGCGTTCTTCATGAACTGAGTCTTCTTCCAACTGATTCGCAAACCGATCTTCTTCCCTACTTCGTTCAGGTCCTTCAGCATCGTCTCTGCTTCAGTGATACTGCTCGAAAAGAGAACGATGTCGTCCGCAAAACGAAGGTTCGACAGGAATCTTCCATCAACTCGTATGCCTCTCTCGTTCCAGTCCAGTGACTTCATCATCCACTGCAAGGCCGCGGTGAACAGCTTCGGCGAAATTGTGAATGCCTTGTCGGACCCACTTCCCAATAGTCAGGGGGCGATGGAACAGCTGCATCGTCGTTGTACAGTCCTTGTAGCAGTCGGCTAACATCCTGTCGAACCCTTCTTGAAGAGAAGGACAGTTCTTGACGATCTCCGCTGGTCGGGAATCTTCTCCTTCTGAAGGTAAGATGTCAAATGCGACGCTAGAATCTCGTGTAGACGGTGTCCTCCGGCTCGCAGAAGTTCGACGGAAAGATGATCTGGTCTTGGAGCCGTGGACGTCTTCATGGTATCGCGATACGCAGGTAGCAGGTAGAATTCGTAGTAGTACTTCTCCAGTGGGAAAAACGGGCATCTGCACGGGTGCTGATGAGCGGAAGAGGTTGGTGTAAAAGTTCTTCGCGATAGATTCCATCTTGTATCGGGGAAGTCGGAGTCCCGTCTTCGTTCAGTAGTGCAGCCAGCGGTACGTGATATTCGCAGAGGTCCCTTCGGCACTTCTTGAGACTTCTTTTTTCGGCTGCTTCCAGTATCTCGGCTTGCCTGTACTTCCTGAGATCCTCTTGCAAAGCTGTCCTGCAACTGGCGTTGGCTATCAGTCGCTCGAGATGGGTTGCATTCGGATCCTGCCTCAAAAATCTTCTACTTTCGAGCAATTCCTTGGTGTTCTTCGAAATGCATTCCAAGTTCTTCTCAGAAGTCACTGAGGCGCATTCTCCGCATGCTCGCAATCCTTTCAGAAGCCGGTCGTAGTCGTACGTTGGGTCCTCCTCGATGGGCCAGTAACAACTTGATATGAGCTCTTCCAGCCTGTTACCGTCATAAACGACTTCCCTTCTCGCGGTGTTACATGTCTACAAGGGAATGTACAATACGGCTCACACAGAATGTGCAAAATTTCTGTGAATGTCGCGGAATTCCGCGACATACCTAAAATTCCGCGACATTCCGGAAGTTTGGGGAAATCAACGCGAATCACGCAAACTACGTAGCGCCGTAACTTCCTTCGAATGAATATATTCTCAATCCGAAAACAGCATTGTGTTCAGCTCATCAAGAACGAATCCTTTGGTATATGATATGTCCTCGATATTCAAAGTTTTCTCAAATTCTTCTGCCGTGATCCTTTCGCAAGGACCACCGCAACGCGGCATCTATCTAACGTGAAAGGTAACAGTAAGCACCATTTGGTATTGTTTTTGTTTTTGTAGATTATAGTGCGTTGGAAAGCAGCTGCAGACTTCTTTCCAAGAAAGGTAGAAGCGTTGGTAGATTCTGCAAAAATTACGCATTTCCAAATCTACTTGCCGTAACTTCCTTCAGAATAGATATATTACGAATTAGAAGCATTGCGGTCAGCTCATCAAGGCGAATCTTTCGATATACAGCGTGCACTTGACATTCAGATTTCAGTATTCTTGAATCTTTTTAGGACGTCTCTTCGCAAAGGTGTAAAGCAGCGCGCATTGCCCCTAGCAGGTTAAAGCCGAGAAATTTCGATAGTACGTTTTCTGCAAATTATGGAGCGCTAAATATCTGCAGACTTCTTACCAAAGGAAATGGAAAGGTTGGTAAATTCTGGAAAAATCGTGTTGTTCCAGGTAACTCACTACACCCTAAAATAAAACTCTCTTTCTAAACAGATGTGATTTTCGTAACCAGCAGGTCAGATAACTCCTATGAACAAGTTTTCCAAAAACGTCCGGGCTTTTTAATTTTTTCTTGTTTCGCGCCCCGAAGCGTGCCGATGGGTTTTGGTCACGTTGCCTTTTCGGACACGCTGCTTGTGAAAATCGTGGTCTTTGAGGAATACAGGTCTTTTTGGAGAGATATAGTGAGGCAAGTGTAACTAAGGCACACAAAAATTTGTATGTTCGCCTGCACTTCTTGCGTACCTGTAAAACTTACCTGCTTGCTTTTGTAGGTTAGAACTATGATTTGTTCTCGGATGATGCTGTCTCACGCTCCAATCCACAAAAATCGCCGAATTACGAGCCTACGAAAACGCGTCTTCACGAATCTTGCCCAAAATGTAAAGATCGTCGAAGCGCTTGTCGAACCACCGTGGGTACCACCGTTGATAACATTCTGATTGCAAATATTATGTTATATTACCACTTATGGTGGAATTCCGACGAAGTATGCAACTTTTACATTTTGAGCAAAATTCATGAGGAGTGTTTTCGTAGATTCGTAACTCGACGATTTTTATATAATGGAGCCTGATATATGCACCATTCGATGGCCAGTTCTTACTTACAAAGGAAGTCACTTAACTTAGATCAGGCTTTTGAAATGAGACACACATAATTGGAATCAGCTTGAAACGCTGGTTTCGAATCTGCTTTCCTTAACTGCGAAGCATTCCTCTGAAGCGAGTTATGAGCTTTTTCCTGAGCAAATTTTGCGTGTTGACCGTAGGCATGCTACGGTATGATCATCTAGGTAGTGGTTCAAATGCATATTATACTCTATCAAAGCCAAATAACTCAATTTGATGTTACTTTGATTTTCCACCACTTTTTGGGCAGATTTTCATCTAAAGACCTTCTTTTCATATTCACTTGTATGTCAATGACACATACTAAAAAAGCTCATAACTCGCTTTAGATGAACGCTTCGCAGCTAAGGATAGCATATTTGTAATCAGCGTTCCGAGCTGATTCTATATATACCAGTGCTTCACCTCTGCTTCGCAGAGGTTCGCACTGGCATCGTGAACCGTGGTAAACTCACTTTTTGAGAGCTTGTCTCTCAAATCATTGTTCGGTTGACTGCAACGTGGGAGCCGTAGTTAAAAATGAACAATACTCGCTATCTCAACCTCGCATGCTGTTTATTATTGTAAATCATTCCTCACTGTAATTTCGTAACGGACAAACTCCACACAACTTCAGATTAAGCCGCTTATTATAAGTCATGATAAATCATTCCTCACTGTAATTTCGTAACGGACAAACTCCACACAACTTCAGATTAAGCCGCTTATTATAAGTCATGATGTGTCTCATTTCAAAAGCCCGACCTAAGTTGAGTGACTTCCCTTGTTAGTAACTTTTACCTATAAAAGAAAGCAGGCAAGTTCCCTGACAAATACGCGAGAAGGGAGGCGAACTTACGAACTCTCCTGCTGTAACAGTTACCTCACCATATCTCTGCAAAAAAATCCTGTATTCCTCAAAGACCACAATTTCCGTAAACCGCGTGTCCGAAATCCTAGTTCTCTCACAATCCTAGATCATCAACATTTTGACCAAAACCCATCGGCGAGCGTCAGAGAGTAAAACGAGAAAAAAATGAAATAACCGGACATCTCGGAAAACTTGCTCATAAGGGCTTATCTGACCTGCTGGCTACGAAAATCACATCTGCTTAGCAAGAGAGTTTAGTATTTTAGGGTCATGATGAGTAAAATTTAGGACGACATGACTTTTCCAGAATTCAACAACGCTTCTAACTCTTATGGAGAAAGGTTTGCAGCTTTCCAGCGCACTATAATCTACAAGAGCAGTGCTACCGAATAGTGCTTACTGTTAACTTTTACGTTGGATAGACGCTGCGTTGCGGTGATCCGGGAAAGGACCACCGCAGAAGAACTTGAGAAAAGTGAAAACGGAATGTTGAGGACACGCTATATACCAAAAGATTCGTCTTGATGAGCTAAACACAATGCTGTTCGAAGGAAGTTATGGCGCTGCTTAGTTTGTGTGATTCGCATTGATATCCCCACATTTACGGAAATGTCGCGGATTTCCGCGATCGGGATTCCGCGACATTCACGGAAATTTTGCCCATTCTGTGAGCGGCATTGTAGATGTTCACTTAACGTATTCGTTTCGTCGAAAATTAGCTGATACAAAATAACAATAAAAAAGGTTGACATTATCATATATTGTTATGACACTGTGCAAATAATAGAAAGTTTCTAAGTTTGGAAACGTGTTTGATGTTCGTAGAAACCGTCTTTGAATGCCAAGTATTATAATACAAAATATTGGCTTGTCGGATAGTTTCGATATCGCAATCATTCAGTCAAGAATTCGATCAAGAAAGCAAACAAGAAGTGTAGAAGCGATAGACCCAGCCATAGAGGCGATGTATAGAGTAAGTTTGTCCTAGAACACTCAGTTGAAAGTCAATATTACTTTTTAGAAAATTGACAAGCAACTCATCAAGCACGAATGGTTTCATGGTGTCATGCCACGATCCGATTGTGAAGAGATTTTGAAGGTTGGTGCGGTACTTTTCAGCGCTAGCATGATGGAAAAAGACAGTTTTTTATTAGGATGAAGGCGACTACTTGGTGCGAAGGACAACTGTCGCCAAAGCTGTAAAATATTGCATCTCAGTGCGACATGATGGTGTTACGAAACATATACCAATTAATTATCAGGACAACAAATGGTCTATTTTGAATGTGAGTAAATCAAAACTTTCCATCAGGTTCGGTATTTATCAGTCTCCTGTACATCCCTCTCACGCCTGTTCGGGAATTTACTGTGGAAAGGCAGCACGCCAGCAGCGCGAGCGGGCGCATATCAAAAACGCCTGCTGGCGTAAACTTTGCATATTGCAAACATTTGGGACCATAGTTTTTCACTGTTTTTTCCTTCCCTTTCAATAGTCGAGCACAGTTTTTGTATTGATGTGCACCTGTGATTACCATGTCAACAAGAGTAAAGTCAAGTTGAGGTATTAAAGTCACTTTTTCGAAAAGTGCCAAAAACGGCCAATTCGTCCTAAATATCAGTAACGCACTATTCAAAGCACAGGAATAAGCTAGAATTGCTGAAACGTGCGATTCAACCAAAAAGTGATTTCTTGGCCGAATGAAAGCAATAATTGCATAAAATAGATGGCTCGATCAAATCACAATGATTATCAGAACTTCCTGTCACCACACCGACTAAAGGACCCGTCATACTTCGCCGAAAAAAGCCCAAAAGCGCCCGAAAAAGCCCGAAAAAGCCCAAAAGAGCTCAAAAAAGCCCGAAAAAGCCCAAAAAAGCTCAAAAAAGCCCAAAAAAGCCCGAAAGCGCCAGAAAGAGCCGGAATGTAGAAACGAACTTTTGGTAGAATTCTGACATTATCTTATCATGCGGACGATAGAAAATGACAAAAAGGCTCGATTGCGAAGTCAACACACATGCCTTAGCGCCAAAACGTGCGAGAAGTGTTCCGGCTCTTTTTGGCGCTTTTGGGCTTTTTTGGGCTTTTTCTGGCTTTTTTGGGCTTTTTTGGGCTTTTTCGGGCTCTTTTGGGCTTTTTTGGGCTTTTTCGGGCTCTTTTGGGCTTTTTCGGGCTTCTTTGGGCTTTTTTCGGCGAAGTATGACGGGTCCCGTAGACAGTGCATGGGCTCAAGGGTCCGATCTGACAAGTTTGGCCGTGTAGGGCACGGCAGCCCGGATTTCGACAGATCGAGCTCTCCATGGTAACCAAAGTACAGGTTGAATACACTCGCCCTTCCGGGCCTGTGCATAACGATGCAAAGCGCCCAAACAGCGAGCGGGAGATTGATGAACACCGCCCTGATTTCTTTCCTCTTGTATGATACTTCTGGTTCTTTTCCAATTTTGCTTGAGATCCTGCCGACGCCTTGTTTTATTTAAATAAAATACCTTTAGTATTCCTTGAGATCAAAGATTATTTGCGAAAATCACTTCATTCCGTTATTGTCACTTCTCCTATGATGAGTTTTGCTTATTTGAGGTACATTTCCTGACCACATCGCGCCAAGACTTTCCTGCACTGGAAGAACATAATTTGTTGCATTTTTTGAAAGTATGGGCCGTATAGTTTCAAATTGCTTTCGTAGACGTTTGCCTGTCAAGAATGCACTTCTAGGGCCCATGCACTAACATCGCCGCGGGGAGGGGATCGCAGCTTAGAAGAAAGCTTTATATTTCGAAACTCCAGTTACCTGGATTTCACGTTGTGTACCTATCCGTAAGTATTCCTACTACCCTTCACTATGAACATGTTGAAGACGAGCAAGAAGCTATACAAACCACATTTTCCAGCTTTTGCATGATCCCTGATGATCCCCGGCGCTTTTCTTTGAAGTCATTTTTCTTTCTCCGAAGTTAACGGGAAACCTCCAAAGTTGTGCGTATTATCTAACCCGACAGTGCTAAGCATGTTGCTGATAAGAACAAATGATGTTTTGAAGTCATGAAATTTTCGATGATCCACAGGTCGAAATTTGAGGTTTACCGAAAAATTCGACTTTTCAAAAACTCATTTGTTCTCATCAGCAACATGCTTAAAGGCACCGTCCACCAAAAATGGAGGTTGGCCAGATTATGATGGCATACTAGTTGTGGGCCCCCACACTAAGCAAACCCCCAAGCTTCGCCGCAAAAGACTGCTTCTGGAGCGAGAAATCCACTCCAGAAGTAGCAAATTAGGCGGGGCAACCATGGTCGCCCCGCCCACTTGCATGCTTTATCTCGCCTGCGCTTGTTGCAAAGGGTTCTCGAAACAGGGATTTTTGGGGGTTTCGCGGATTTTCGATTCCATATTCGGAATCAAGGCTTTCAGAAGGCCTGAAGATGACAAAAACATTGAATTCGAGATTTTGGGTGGACGGTGCCTTTAACACTGTTGTGTTAGATGTTCAGTACAACTTTGGAAGGTTTTCGTCAACTTCGGAGAAAGAAAAATGACTTCAAAGAAAAGCGACGGGGATCATCAGGGATCATATAAAAGCTGGCAAATGCGGTTTGTACAGCTTCTCGCTCCTGTTCAACATGTTCATAGTCAAGGTAGTAGGAATACTTGCGGATAGGTACACAACGTGAAATCCAGATATCTGGAGCTTCAGAATATGAAGCTTTCTTTTGAGCTGCAATCCCCTCCCCAGCGGAAAGGTTAGTGCATGCGGCCCTTGGAGAAAAGAGAGGCGCAGGAAAGCAAGCAAAGCATCGCTCGCTCCCCATCTCATGAACTGGCGCTGTCTCAGCGCAGTGACTTCTACGCCCCACCACTTAATGGTATACCTTGCTGGTCATGCAATGCTTATCAAAATCAGCTTCCAGGCAAGTTGGCAAACTATTGGTTTGGAAACTAAAGTCAGCAACTTCTTTCATAACTTTACCCTCTTCAAATATGACGCACTCAAACCTTGACAATATGTAGATCGTAAGTTATAGATCTCCTTCATCGTGGAATGAAAATGAGTTCAAAGTTGGAAGCGGTTTGATATTGCTTGATGAGAGTGCATTTTGCTTCAAAATCGACAAATCAATAAAAAGAGTGAGAATTTCGTTGTGAAGAGTAGCCTACGGGGTGGAGTAGACCGGATCGAAAACATATGCTTGCAATGGGCGCTGACTGGACTGCGCACAAAAATTTTTATAGCTTACACATAACTGACGATATACCAACACTCAGTTTTTTATAGATATGTATAGATAAGCAAAAGTGAAGCTGTTAGCAACCTAGACCATATACAATGATCTGAAATTGTGTATGAGTTATTGCCAGGGCTTGCTTTCTCACTGGTTTGGCTCAGTGAAAAAGTAGTAAAATTTGAAGATATCGGAATTTAGCGCATTTACGAATTTGAGCGAGTTGCTGTACGCAAGGCTGCGTCGACAGCGGTTGGCTAAGGAGTCCGAACCTCAGAATTTGCCGAAACCTCGCATATTAGGGTTATCTGACCTTCCGAACACGTATATCATATTCAATTGTTGAACTAACGCCTCTCCTATTGTTCAGAGCGAGATTTCACACCTTAAACCTACACTAATCTTACAGAAATCCACAGGCAATTTATTGATTATTTGCAATCATTGTCGTCTTCTTGATGCGTTTCGGATAACCCCCTATGCCAAGTCAGCTAATTTGTAGTAGTTCATAATTTGTCCTCTTATCCCGCATACCTACCGTAACCCTCACTACGAAGTCAGAATTCAGCAGCACAGCACCTGCGCTTGTAGCTCATATTCAACTCAACGGCAAAATTGGATTACGTCATATTCAAAGAAGGGAAGATATTGGAAAAACTGCACAACTTGCTTTCGAGCTTGATAAGTTGTCGTCTTTCTGAGGCCTGTCGCCCAAAACTCGAAAGGATTCTACAGTGTTTTAGTCTACGAAAACTAGGACTTTTGTGTCCTCAAAAAGAACGCGGGCGAAAAGATTAAGACGTGCGCTAAAAAGGGTGGAGAAATGATCAGGACTCAGAACGAGGTGGTATTTGAGAATCTCGAAAACGAAATCTTTTTCGACATCGCAGAAATCTGTGAATAATCTTTTGTGGATTTGTGGAAGTACGGCTTATGATCCGCAAAGAACGATGAGTGGATAAAAGTGAAGAAAAAACCAGCAAAATTAAAGATAACAACAGAAGGCAAAAATTCGAGTTTTTCAATATCATCAAGGGCCGTAGCAAAGGAAAGGTCGAAACATGGGCAAAGTGAGTACTTATGAGAAGAGTATGAACTGAACGATAAATTTATGTAGAAGTTTTTGAAAATTCATGTGAGAAAGATGGTATATCATGACTTTCTTTGGTCTTGCGCAACCCCAGCGTGCCCCAGGTTGCGCGAAAGCAACCCATGATGGCTCTATATTGCTCAGTCTGTGAACAAACCAAATGTTTTTCTCTTTGTGCATGAAGATCATGTTTTAACACGCTGGGAATGGCGTGCATACAAGTTTATGCACTGACCGTGCTTGTAACATGTTAATTTGAGGCTCTGACGTCATCTTATCTGTTATTAGTAAGATGACATTAGTGCCTCAAATTTGAGCTTACTAATCGTAAGAGTAAGAATGTAGTTGCTGGTATTTTCGGAGATCTCCTTGAAAATTTAACGACCCTCTTGTTACCCCCAAGAAACGTCATCCAGCGTGTGAAAGTGCCACCTCCGCTGAACCCCGGGAATGATATACCCACTAGAGCACCGTCCACCCGCGAAAACCTCAACAATCCCTGGCGAGCATATATGGGCGGAATCACTGGATGGGGCATTGCCGGACAAAGTCCTCCGCTCTCTTCGACTTTCGGAGCTATTTCGCGGCTTTAGAAGCGAAATTTTGTGCCGCGACTTGGGCCTTGGCTTGGTAGGGGGCCCTACAATTGTATGCTGACAAAAGTTGAAGTTTAGAGTGGATAATGCTTTTAGTCACCGACACTAAGCTGTTCCCAACACGATAGGCACTAATTAGCATGTGCGAAAAACCAGTAATCCACGGAGATGGCGCCTGCCTAATGTAAACATTTTTACATGCATTCACCATTAAAAAAAATAATGTGGTTTTCGCAGAAATTCTGGTCTTAAGCAATGCAAGCAACCAATGAGCTACAAGCAGCAATGTGCGTGGAAGACCGGAGGTAGACGAAAGAGCTGTTTTGGCGCCATTTTCTCGTTTTTGGGTTACAGCATGGTTTCACGCTCGGTGATGCTTAAGAAGAAAGGCTTGCTAGCTTGTCGCAAAAAAAGCTCAGTCTTTCCCACTTCTGCCCAAAAGCTTTGATCTTTGAGACGCTTTGAGTGTTCATTAGCCAAACGAATAATAATAAGTCAACATTAAGCCGCACAAATTTCAGGAAAATAGAAACACATTGGAAGAGTTAATTGAGTCATATATGAAAGAGAGAAAAATGATCCCACCATCAAATGTGATATTAGTGACGGCAGTGTCGCGACCAGAGTATTTTATTCTACATGAGGACGTAATACTAGGAAAAAACTTAGGGCGTAAGCTAAGATCAATGGTCAATGACAAAATTCTTTGAATGGCATTGAATATCCATAGGTGGCGCTTTCGGTGAAGTCTATGAAGGGAAGCTGAAGTTGAGAGAAGGCAAGCTTATTGATGTTGCAGTGAAAAGAGCACACGAAGGTCATTTGAAGAAATCACAAATTACTGCGTTTGTAAGGGTAATAAAGCTTTCAATCTTCTTCCTTTGAAAGTAATTAGAACAGCTTTAGGAGGCGAAGATTATTAGACGTCTAAATCATGCCAACATTGTGCGAATTTTCGGAGTGGCTGTGCTGGAAGAACCTGTGATGATTCTACTGGAGCTTGCTGTCAATGGTTCTATGAAGGCTTGTACCATATAACATTTCCGAGTACAATTTACCCGAATTCAGAAAGAAGATTCCAGTCAAACTTTTGTTTGCCAACCTCACCTCGCTCCCCTCCCCCATTTTTTCTCCACCTCTTGGCTCGATTTTTTGAAGTCTGTGGTCTCCATGGCATCAGTGTACTAAATCTATCTTGAAAAATAAGATACTATTTCTCACCCAAACACTTAGTGCGATCAGTTTGCTCCGTCTCGGAAATTATGGTATTTTAAACAGCTCGATGTAGTGCTATAGTTTAGGCCTATCTCAAGAAGAACGAGAGTGTGTCGGTGGACCAAAAACTGAATTTTGCCAAGGATGCATGTCGTGGAATGTGCTACTTGTCAGGAGCAAAGGTGACCTTGAGTTCAGCCAAAACTCTTATCTCACTAGAGCTCTTTGCAGGTTATTCATCGTGACTTAGCAGCCAGAAACTGTCTTTTGGGAGAATCATACGAGGTGAAAATTACCGACTTTGGTCTTTCCGTGGTAGACAAGAGTGAACTACGTCTTAGTAAACTGCAGAAGGTGCCAATCAGATGGTTGTCCCCGGAAACTCTAACTGAGGTGAGCACTGCAGCAAGCTGTGCATTCGTTATATTCAACAGTTACTTTCGTCTGTAGGGTGTTTTCACAACGAAAACAGATGTCTGGAGCTTTGGGATTCTTACTTGGGAGATCTTTGCAAGTTGCAAATCGGATCCATTTCCCGGCATCCATAACGCAGAAGTGATTGAGTTGATCACAAACAAGACACCACCTATAGATCCTCCCGATGGGTCACCAGAGATAGTGAAAGTCATCATGGATCAGTGTTTCATTAAGGTATGCATCCACTCTAGGTTCCTCGATCTATGTGCGATATTTTCAGAATCCTCATGAAAGAGCTGATTTTGCAACCATTTTCCACATTCTCGCGCCGTCTGAGCCATTGCCAGCATCGGTAATACTGAGCGGATTGGACACGAATGCTCCCAGCCAAGAACAGCAAAAAAGCTGCATAGAACCCCTCCCTTTGCAATCAGTCGATTAGTGCTGCAAATTTGTGCCTAATTTGTCTATTTATACAATATTTATCGTCATGCACTTCGTACTCAATAATTGATGATAATCGCTTCTATGTGATTAGGGTGTAGGCAGTCTCAGCTGCTGAAACCTCTTTACTAACTTGTTAAAATAAAAGTTTATCTTACTTTTTCCCCCAAATAAAGCCCTGAGGGCATACAAACCAATATCTTGGCCACACTATAATCAGTCTAACAAGGAAAGGATACTTGGTGACCCCGGCCATTTGGAATGCAATGTATGCCATAAGGTGCACCTCAAAACGCTGATTCTGAATCTGTGCTCGAAATCTGCGAAACGATCGTATGAAGGCAGTTATGAACTTTTTTCGTAGAAAATTTGCGTACTTTTAGGTGGTTGATTGCCCAATTCGATCTATTTTACCATTTGGCGCTATTGAGGAGAATCTTGAAAGATGTAACGTTGTATTTATACCATCTAAATCATATTTAGCATGAAGAGGAAAGCAATATTTATTAATGATTTTCACCCTTCGCAGTAGCGCAATTCATTTTTGGAAGATATATACAGGGTGTCCCAAAAAATATGAACACTGTTTGATCGTTAGTAACTCCGTTGCTTTCACGTCTTTCGCCGAGCTTGAGGCATCATTGTGTGGAGCGAGGTTCAACTTAGATTTGTAGTATGGACGAATCACCGATCGTTGTTCGTTACTGTAGGATTATGGTATGAACTTCTAGCATGTGGATCTATTGTGAAATATGCCATTTGACAAAACTTTTTTCAAAAAATCTGAAAAATCGTGTGCTAGGGTTTTCATGCACGCTGATTCCATTAGACAACTTTTTACGAGTGTTTTTAGCTTTTTTGGCGGTGTAGTCACATTTCTGACTGATGCTGGAAATTCAGTTATTACTGTTTACCTAGGATAACCTTGGAAAGAAGCATCACAGTAAAGTGAAATTTCATATTCGAGATCAGCGTCGTCCATAACCATGGTATAGAAGTTTTTGGCCTGTTTGGTTTTGTTCCGAGGCAGAATATGGCCTCCAATGGCTCAAAATCCTTGTCGAAATTTCTACCGTAATCCTACAGTAACGAAAAGGGATCGGTAATTCAATCCATGCTGTAAATCTAAGTTGAACCTCGCTCTATAGAATGGTCACTCAAGCTCGGCGAAAGACATGAAAGCAAGGGAGTTATTAACAATCAAACAGTGTGCACATCTTTTTGGGACACCCTGTATAACTACATCCAGGTTCTCGTTTCGCAGATATGGAAAACAGTATTCGAACTGCATTAAAATGCGCATTCTTTAATTTACAAATCATTATGAATGGCTGGGTCACCAAGTATCGTTCCCTGCTAAGCAGTGCGGTGATATGGCAGGCATTCAGTTTCTAGGCTAGGATTTAAGCGCAAATAAATATTTTTTCTTGAAACGTAGTTACAGGACGTGTTAGAAGTTGTCTACCTTGCACATTCATTTAAGTTTTGAATAACTTTGCTCATGTTTATTGAAGAGTAAGCCGTCTTGATAACACTTTTTACAAAAACATTTAGCTGTGCAATACACAAAGATTTAAATAAATTTGAGATTTGGTACTTTAGGGCCTAAAAAAGGCTCAAAAAGTAATAGTTTTTGATTTTTTTTTCCTTTGCAAATGCTTTTGATAACTTTTCTTTCAGTTGCAGTTGTACTACAGGCTTGCGACTACAAGGTTCAACAAACCCCGAAGAAAATTATAATTTGTCAAGTTTGAGAGAAACTGTTTGTATTTTTGATTCATAATTTTGTGCCCGTTTGTGATGTCAGTTCATGTGAATTCGCGCTGAGTTGCAAAGGTCTAGTAGTTCTGATGCTTTGACAAGTTTCAGCTCTTCAAAGAAGAACTTTGCACTTCACGCAATCTTTTTGCACCAACATGGCTTTGTGTTCTCCGTCATAATTTCAACAGACTTGAAATCTTTTTCATACATGCAGTTTTTCTTATACTGTGTCAGTTTTGCACTCAGCCCCTCATAACCTACCAGAAAACTCTTTGATTCAAGCGCTAGACTAATATGAAGCAGTAACAATCAAAGAAATTGACCTAGTACATCAGTGTTCTATTAACAATTTATTTCAGGGAATCTTGCAAGTATTCGGACAGGAGTGAATTAGAGTCGACATAATTAATCGAAAACTTGGCAATGAATTTAGAGTTGACCAACTATCAAAGATCTCGCTCATCTCCCATCTACAAGATCAGCTTCATTACTCGAGGGAAATTAAACCAATCTAATAGTTTGAAAGTCTCATCGAACAATCGGCATAAGCTGCTGCTAAGCAAGCTCTGGTAACCAGAACCATCTTACCAGTAACTCTGGCCATCGGTATTCAGAAACCATTCAGAACATTGAAAATCCTACTCTAGAAGCAAGACATGGTTTACCTTCGACCATTTGCAAAACTCTTCTTCTTGTTAAAATACGATTGGAACTAGTACTTTTTAGAAGAGGTATTACAAAGGTATTTCTTCATTATTCTCGCCCGATCAAATTATATTGAAAGTAGATTGAAAATGAATGTAACCGAGTTTGGCATGACTATACAAAACAAGGATTTACCTTTTCTGGAGCGCACTGGACCAATGTTTAGAAATCCTTCGTGCAATCAAAAAGAAAATAGAAACTCGGTGCTTCACAGAATATTTCAGCTTAAAAGTTGTGCGGTCACAATTCAACCAAGGAGGCAGCAAAAACGAAATGTGGAGATATAGGCTTCTTTTTAAATTTGAATGTTTGCTGTGGAAAGAATGATTCTTAATAAATATGAGCATTTTCTGGAGTATGTTTTCAGTTTGAAAGCAAAAATATGTCTCTTGAGATCGAAATTATCATTTTTATTTGCGGCGGAAGTTTGAAGATGATGGCCTGGAGATGAACCATTTTAAAGCAATATGCAATTCATATAATAATATTTCAGTATAAGATTTGTGCTATTTGATTCACGTGAAACAGACGTTAGTCTCTAGAAGATCAAAGTTTGGCGCATTCAAAGCAGGTGTACTGGGTAAGTGATTTCAATCGCAGAGTCTGGTGTGCTAAATATTTCAAATTGGTCTTATGATTTCAAGTCTGCTATTGCGATGCTTGCTTGAGAATGGCCATAGAACTCTCTGCGTCATTCTCTCCAAACTATACTGAATTCTAGTTTAGGTTTGTTGAAAGCTCCAGCAAAGATGTTTGTTGTCCAAGGCCTCTAGGCTCCAGAAGGCAGATCTTTAGCTTGCTCGTGGTTAGTTTTAGAAGTTACTGTTTGCAAAGGCGTATGGACTTCATTGTTCGTCTCGCGCTTTGAACACCAACATGTGCGAGCGGTTAACACGAAGGCTGTGCGCGCTCAAATTTGGTCGAAAGTTTTTCCTTGAATTTTTTTGTTCAGCATGAAGAATGTCTTTCGATAGCTATAATTGGAGCAAACATACAGGGTGTCCCAAAAAATGTACTGTTTGTACATTTTTACTACTGTTTGATTGTAAATAACTCTTTTGTAATGAAGTATTTCGAGAAGCTTTAGGTACCATTTTGTAGAGCGAGGTCAAACTTAGATTACAGTATGGAGCGATTCGTCTATCCCTCTTCATTACTGCAGGATTACGGTACGAACTTCAACAAGGATTTTAGGCCATTGGAGGCTATATTCTGCCTCGGTACAAAACCAAACAACCAAAAACCTATTATACTATGGTAATGGGAGCCGCTAATTTCAAATTTGAAATTCCACTTTACTATAATGTTTCTTTCCGAAGTTACCCTAAGCAAACCGTATTAATTGAATTCCCAGTACTTGTCAGAAATGTGATTACACCGTCAAAAAAACTATAAACACTCGTAAAAAGTTGTTAGGTAGAATCAGCATGCGCGAAAACCCTAGTACACGACTTTTCAGATTTTTTGAAATAAAATTTTGTTAGGTGGTATTTTCCACGGTGTTTCCATATGCTGGAAGTTCTCACAATAATCCCACAGTAATGAAGAGCGATGATGATTCGCTTCATACTGTAAATCTAAGTTTAACCTTGCTCTACAAAATGGTACCTAAAACTTCTCGAAACACTTCATTACAAGAGAGTTATTTACAATCAAACAGTAGGTACATTTTTGTGACACTCTGTAAAATTAGAAATTGTGGCGATGGCGCGACCGCGCGCACCACGCACGCACTTCCGGCAACCGCACTCTCCTCTTTTCATCTCTACTTGAATGGTTTTTCTGCGTACGTAAGATAGTATAAACACTGGAAGGGACTGAGCAGACAACTGAGGGTGATGCCTTTCTGTATGGGTGTTTTATGCTCCTGTGGGAGCAAAGACCGTAGTCGAGTTCGTCGGCACAATTTTATAAATGACCTGTACATGTCTGCACATGCTTCTAGCGCTTGAGCACCCAACGTTCTCATTCTCCTGCATGGGCTGGTGTACGAAGCAAGGCACTGGGCAATAAATTATTGCATACTTCAGTGGTCCATTGCAAATCTACCTTAAAAAAAACCATTTCAGTTCACATGCTATGGATTCAGTGAGCGGCAACTGTAGCTATGCTAGCACTCTGCCTTTTGGTGCAAATGAATACTTTTTCATAGCAGCACTATCGCTAAGTATCGTCTACCTCATACCCTCCCTACTTGTCACGTATAGACTTGCGTCCATTACTGGAAAGAAAAGAAAGCTATCCAGCATATTTTATCGTATTTTTCTGCATGATCGAATAGTCGTAAGTTTTTCATTGAAATGTGAAGGATTCAAATGACCATCTATAGTCGCCCTCACCCCACTAGTCGGTCGGTGGACGAATTCAAATTTGAAATGGAGCGGGCCTGTCACGGCAGAGCGCGGCAGGAGACAACGCTCAGCAATTACAAAAACTCAATATAGGTCAAAAACGTTGTAACAATACAAAAACTGCTAAGCAATGGCGAAGAAATACGCAAAGGAATGCGTGAATTTGAACGGAGAGCTAAGGTGCCGTGCTCTGTCCCGACCTGCCTGCTCCAGTTCGAATTCGAATTCGTCCACCGACCGACTAGTGGGGTGAGGACGACTATACAAGGCGATTAACACTGAAATTGCGAAAGAAAATGCTAATAACCATGAGTTGTTGAAATCACCGGAGAGAGCTGGTGTTTCATAGCC